AGGGGACAGGGGACAGGGGACAGGGGACAGGGGACAGGGGACAGCCATGGCAGGGACAGGGGACAGGGGACAGGGGACAGGGGACAGCCATGGCAGGGACAGGGGACAAGGGACAGGGCGACCACCGTGGGCACAGTGACACCACCATGGGGACAGGGCCACCCCCGTGGGGACAGTGACAGCACCATAGGGACAGTGCCACACCCATGGGGACAGTGCCATCCCCCCACAGGGACACTGCTGCCCCTGCAGGGACAGAGGACAACTGCCACCCCCGTGGGGAGAGGGGACAGCCATGCCAGGGGCACGGGGGACACTGCCAGCCTTACTGGAACAGTGCCACCCTTGTGGGGACACTGCCACCTCCATGGGGACAGTGCCACCCCCACGGGGACAGGGGACAGCCATGGCAGGGATGCGGGGGACAGCTGCCAACCCTATAGGGGACACTGCCACCCCCACAGGTCACTGTGGTCACTGTGCATCTGCCTCGTCCCCGTGCCATGTCACGACATGCCGTGACACATCGTGACACATTGTGACACCATCGTGACACCATCGTGACACCATCGTGACACCATCATGACATGCCGTGACACATCGTGACACCATCGTGACACCATCGTGACACATCACGACACCATCGTGACACCATCGTGACACCATCGTGACATAGGAATGGGACAGGACAAGACAGGACAGGGGGGCAGCTGGTGTGAGAAGAGCCGGGACAGCACGGCACGACATGTCGCGACATGCAGTGACATATCGTGTGACATGCCGTGACATATTGTGTGACATGCTGTGACATATCACATGACATGCCATGACATACCACAACATGCCATGACATATCATGACATGCCGTGACATACCGCGACACACCGCACTGTGACATGCAGTGACATATCATGACATGCTGTGACATATCATGACATGCTGTGACGTACTGTGACATGCTGTGACATATCACGATGTGCCATGACATATCGCATGACATGCCGTGACGTATCGTGACATCCTGTGACATATCGTGACATGCCGTGACATACCGCGACATGCCATGACATATCGCGAAATCCCACGGCATATCATGACATGCCGTGACATATCGTGACATGCTGTGACATACCACGACATGCCGTGACATATCGCAAAATCCCATGGCATATCGCGACATCCCACGACATATCGCGACATGCCGCGACGTACCACCACAGGGTACGGGGACCGGCTGGGGCAGGACACGGAGGGCAGGCGACACGCCAGCGTCACACGGCCCGGCCCGGGTGACGCCGCCACGCGTCGCGACGCGTCACGA